CAGCCTAGGCCGCACCCATCCTGCACGAAACACAAGGAGAGCACAGTGCTCGAAAGCCCTGCGCAAACAGGCGGTCTGGGGCGAGGAAAAGGATCAGAAAGAGTATGGAAGGGGGCTAGTGCCCCAGAAACTTATATGGATAAGAGACTGTAGGATAGCTAACGGCCTCAAGTCCACGGATAATGGTCTGTCATAGCTCTAGGGCTCGGTATGGACAATAAACTTGATTAAATAATAATAATCAACGATAGACCAAATAACAACTGGACCGCAAGAAACCCCTAGTGCACAAACTGCGTTCACCAAAAGAAAGGATGGAAGCTCTTGGGAAACTCATTCATCGGATGGAAGGGTGGTCCCATAGAACTTCCAGGGATTCCGTGATCCTGGTGGAGATGTGGGTTGTATTGGAGTTATTCGATGGGCTAGAATTGCTGACTATACCTATACTGAAGTTGTTGACTATTCCAATATGGAAGACTATAATGAGGCCCCCAAGTCCACTGGGATTCATGATCGTAGTCCGATTGTGGATAATAACGGGGTTGATGGCCATACTGTGGTCTCTGAGAAGTCTGAATATACAGAAACTCAGGGTTATTTTGGAGTCCACGATCACACAGTGGTCGATGATCATACCAAGCCCCTGAGCTGGGTGCCTGTTGCATGACATCCTGTTTATCATTAACCATACCCTGAAGGTAAACCATATACAGCTTGTCAACCATGTATCACCGCTCAAGATCATCATGTCCTTCACCCTGTCCCCAGGATTCCAAGTCCGCATCATATTCTAAGGCTGGGGAATCCAGCTCTAAAGTATTTTCGCCGGCATAGTCGGGATTGGAAAGTTGGACGTTCCATTAGACATTGACATGCCCATGGGCCGCCAAGATGCCCAAATACGAAGACCTACTGGAGAGGCATAATCAATGCGATTTATGCAGTATCTTCCAGTATTATAGTCGTAAACTTACAGACGAAAAGAAGCTATTGATTCTGACAAAAAGATGAAATTTCCATTATTCTACTCTATTCTAACCAACCTCATATCCCTCAAGTACTCTAGGGCGCTTTTTCACTCTACCAGAGGCATGTATTTGGCTTCCTGTCTAGAGTTGCATTCGGCGCGGATTGGCGCGGATTTTGCGGCTTCGCTGTGCCACTCTATTCCTGTCATTGTAGGTAATGGGATTATTATTATTTAATCAAGTTTATTGTCCATACCGAGCCCTAGAGCTATGATAGACCCTTATTCGTGGACTTGAGGCTAGTAGCTATTCTACAGTCTTTTATCCCCATAAGCTCCCGAGGCACTAGCCTCCTTCTACAATCTTTCTGATCCTTTTCCTCGCCCCAAACCACCTGTATGCGCAGGGCTTTCGAGCAGAGTGCTCTCCTTGTGTTTCAAGAGCAGAGTGGGTGTGGCCTGAGCTGGCGATTCAGCTTAGGCTACCCCCCTGCTATCCTTCTCCTGTTCTAATCGTGTCACGAGCTCGGACCAGTAGATACTAATGAAATGATATTCCTATCTAAACCGATGTAGCCATCGACTAGAATATCGGATCTGGGGAAGAAAAGAGAAGAGGCAAATCTATTTACACGAAGAAGTCCTATATGGTTGTGTGTGGCCTCGCTAAGCAGCTTGTTTGCCTTGGTTGCTTCCATGGCATTGTTTGCCGTGTTGATGATGTTTGCTGATGAAGGCGCTGGGCTGAGCCGTTACACCTCGAAGCGGCCGCCGAAGATCCAGACGTAGACGGGGAGATTCTTGGATTGATTCTCACTGGCATCGGTGGTGTCGTGGGTCGGAGTCCAGATGTTCAGTCAAGCAATCCTCGCCAGTGGAGTTCTTTCCGGAAGAAAAGATACCAACCTCGGAATATGGCTGCGCGCATTGAGGACCGAACTCATTTGCATGGAGTGTCTCAGTCCACGACTCAGGCTTGGTGGGAGGAGTCCAGCGCTTCGAACCAGTAGGAGGCGCTGCATAAGGGATACCTTTGTAAACGGTGACACCTTCGCGGAAAGGCGAAGCTGCGCCCTTGACAGGTCCGTAGTCGCTTTGAATGACAGGGAAGGTGGCCGCCGCGGCAAGTGCCGGGACAGCGAGGAGAAATTGAAGTAAGTTCAACATTTTGCTTGGTATATGCTGTTGATTGAAAGGCTAAAGAGGTACATAGAGACAGGGGCGATTTGCGAGACTTTATATAAGCCACTTAGAGACCCAGAATGAATCTATATTGCGTGGCTGGCTGCCTGAGCGGAAGATAATCGGCATCGAGGTCTCATTTTTTTTTGGGGGGGGGGGAATTCTGATCCAAGATCAGAAGTTATCTCCGAGCTTACGACTGCGAAATTGACTATAGAATTTTGTTATAAGTCTTCCATTGTATGCAAACCAAGCTAAGGCGAGTATATACACTCAGATATTACAGACAGATACTCGTAACCACCTCCCAACGGTCTGTTTCAACACAATTAACTCGAAGCCAATACAACGCCACAGAGGACTTGACGTTGTAACTCAAGCCTAGCTGTTGAAAGAGAAATAAAATAATTCTTCTAACCCATAGCTTAGAGGAATACCAAATGTCGCTACCGTCAATGTTGCGAGGCAACCTCCAGATGCTCCGCGCCGGTCCCTGTCCCAGCAGAACTGCTGGCTTTCTTTCCTTCTACCAATGGTCCCTCTTCCAATGATGCTGGCGGAACCCATTTTGCACTACTCCACGGGGCGACATGCTGGAGATACATAGTGTCAATCTCCTCTAGAGTCTTGCCTTGCCCTTCAATCAGGAAGAAGTATACAATAACCGCAGCGGCGAAGTTGCATCCTGCAAAAACGTAGCCATATCGAAAATCAATGGCACTCGTGATAAATGGCGTGAAGAAAGCTATCAAGAAATTCCATGTCCAGTTGCTTGCTGTTGAGAGCGCCATTGCTGTTGCTCTATAGCGCGATGGGAAAATTTCTGCTTGCACGGTCCAGATCATCTGCGCGTATAATCAGCTTCAAACAATCGTACAGCTTATTCAGAGAAGAATGACTCACCGGACCCCAGGTTGTCGCATATCCGAGAATGAAAAGGCAGGCAAAAACAATAAGAGCAATACCAGGCGGGGGAGTCAGTTCAGGTCGGTCGATGTTGAGAGAAAAGTGACCAACGGATGCAAAAATCAAGAAGCAAATGAACATCCACGCGCTTCCAGCAATGAGAGACTTTCTCCGGCCGTAATGCTCAATCAAGTAAAGACCGATAAAAGTCGTGCCAAAATTGATACCGTTCAATATCATCTGGGTAACGAATGAATCGATCTGCACAGACCTGAATATAGTTGTTCCATAGTAGAAGAAATAATTGGCACCTGTCAGTTGTTGGAAAGCCTGTAGTGTCATTCCCAGAGCAATGCGATAGGACATCCGCGGTGCCTTGAACATCCCGGCAAACTCACGGATCATTCCACCGGAGTTATGGGTTTCGGACCGGAGTTTGCTCTCTATCTCTTCCAATTGAATGTGGATGCTGTAATGATTTGCAGGAGCTCCATAAACCTTGCACAACGTTTCTTTGGCTTCCTGGATGCGGCCGTGACGGTATGCGTAGCGAGGGGTCTCGGGGAAAAGTAAGATGCCGAGACCCAGAATGAGCGTCCATGCCCATCCAAGTCCGACAACAATACGCCAGGAGCCAGAGTTACCTGACTGATGCGTGTAGGTGCCATAGTTGAAACAGGCGGCCAAGAAAATCCCCAGAGTGATGAATAACTGGTAAGTGCAGACCAGGGCACCTCGAATCCACGGTGGCGCAGTTTCAGCTATAGTTGTTAGAAAGATATTTTCACCCAGCTAGGAAGATAGGCTTTTATGCACCTTGATACATAGGTACAAGCAGACTGAGTGCACCAACCCCAAGTCCTGCAATCAGACGGCCGATCATGAACTGGTACCAAGCCGTTACCGATGCAATTTGAACCACGAAACCCACGGACACAACCACGCTCCATAGAGATATCGATAAACGCCGTCCAATTCGATCAGCTATTGGTGCAGCGATCAAAGCACCGATGAGAGTTCCAATCGAGAGCTAAAAAAAAAAAGAGGAGAAAGATCAGCCATAAGAAATACACCATCAGATTTCTGAGATATACCAGACCGACGATGAGCCCTGACCGCACGTTGCTAAAATATGGCGTGCCATCATTATCTCTTTGACCAAAACGGTCCAAGAAGTCGGACATTTCAAGAAAACCAGATATTTGACCTGTGTCGTATCCGAAACTGATTGATTTAGCTTGTCATTCAATAAAACAGAGAAGCGCGTAATTCACATTAAACCGCCCATAGATACAAGTACACCCATGAGGGAAGAGTGCCATGTGACTCGATGCAAAGGTGAATAATCATAGCTGTCTTGTTCCACATTCTGGAGCCGGTCAAAGTGAACTTTCATAGAAGATGATTTGTTGGGTACCATGATGGGCTTGGGCGAAGTAGTCTTTTGGAAGGGCAACCCTTTGATTTAAAGGGCAGCTCTTGCTTTTAAAGATCATAGAATCTCTCGTATTGCGGGATCACGATGATATCAACAAAGAAAGTCATTATAAAGCATCATGTAGGGTTATAGAATCTTCCTATTGGTGGTGAGTCGCCACAAACCCCGCATCATCACCCCATGGGGATCAATGAAAGTTACAACCTCGTATTGACTGACAGTGGCTGTGACCTTGGCAGACCACTGCTTAGCTTGTCGTTATATGTATCATGCTCATGGTTGACATGTATACATGTGTGGCTAGTAGTTGGCAGCTGTTGTATGCTTCTGCCGCGAAGCGACCATATTTTGTATTCTAATTCCATGCAGTCATTCATCTTTTGATTTTTCTTTGACAGAGCCACGGCATAGTCCGCTTGCCATTATAGTTCTGAAAGACGGTCTTTCCTATATAGACTCCGAAGTCCTTAATATGCGTGAGCCTGCCCTCATCTGTTTCAACAGAGCCAACTGCCTTGAACCCAATCTTGGAAACCAGCAGAAGACGAAATCGCAAGTGCCAAGCAATTTTTGTCCATTTCACTGCAGAACATTTTCATGGGCATAGATCCAATGTCTTGCCGTTGGTAGTCCGAACCGACTGCTATGAAGGTGATACCTGAAAGAGACTCGTGAGCAGAACCCGGACATGCCGAATTAGACTTACGGCGTATCTCGGGACTTTCACGGCTTCGAAAACTCTTCTTTCCCTTTTCTCCCGGCGTTTTTGGAGTAATGAGTCATGAAACCACATCCATTGTAGCCGGACACCAGCTTTCTCTGTTTCGCCGGTCTAGACCCAGTAGCCGAAGCGCTTTTGGGTGTACTGGCCGTCCATCAATCATCCAACACGCAGCCTATCTGCCATACAGGCTTTGTATAACACTTCATAATTCGCATAGACTGCTTCAAAAAGCGCGTCGACTTTCCATTATGTCTCCTCGCGCCGATGTTCTGTTTTTGACTTGCGAGATATCAGGGGGTATAGTGGGTTATCTTGCTGTGCTGGGTAGTTCACTTTGCAGTCGAGCATGTCTACATCCTCCAGTTTGATGGGAGATGTTGGGTTCCATTATGTGTCTGAAAATAAAACAGGGCTTGGTTGAAAGTGGCATGCTCAAAATGGAATTAAGTCACAATGCTGAACCGGAGAAGGGAGCGCTATTTAGTCACTTTTAGAAGTTCTTAACCGAGTCTAGTAGTCGTGATACCATGATTGACATCAATCGAACCTGGTAACAGATTTTTGCTTTATAAGACAAGTCAAAGTTTGTATATCTTTGCATATTAGCAATAACAAGCCAGAAAGTAACAATACATAGGCATTTTGGTCAAGTACATAACACATAAACAATCAACGTATCCTTTCCCTCTCATAGCAGATCACCCAACTCAGCCATATCCAGAGGCTTAACACCCCTCCGCACAAACAACCAACCCAATATCCCCCCCAGCCCCACAAGTCTTGACCTGACTTCCACCAGGTGTGCTCCCCTCAGGCCAGCAAATACTTCCACATCCCTCATCATCAGGCTTCACCACAACCGCATCTCCCTCAAATGCATCCCCAAACACACTTGACAAATCATACCACACGCTCTCCCCATCAAGAGAGTACGAGTAGGTCAATTGCGCGCTCCCATCGTACAGCCCGTTGTCGGTGCGGGTGATTTTCAGCGCAATGCCACCGGATTGGTCGTCATGGTGGAAGGGCTCTGTGTAGTTGGAGCCGGGGGCGATGGTGTGTTTAGGGGAGACGGAGGAGCCGACGGACCAGAGGTAGATTGGGTCTGCGCAGTTGTTTGTGACGACTGCGTTGCCGACGGCGGTGGCCGTGGTGGCCAGGGTGGTGAGGGTCAGGGTGGTGAGGGTGAGGAGGTGCATTTTGTGGTTTGTTATGGTGGACTTTGCAAAGTAGAGTGTATTGATTAGACTGAGATTGAGGTTGATGAGTACTGGATTGGTGAGGATTCGAGGGTCTTTATATACTTTTTTTCAGCCTATAAAGTACACCCTAGCTAGTCATTACTGCTATCGATTCTCTAGTACGAACTCAACTCATCTATACAACCGCATCAGGCAATCGTTCCACATCGTGTCTCCGTCGCTCAATCCCGACAAAACTTCATCGCTTAATTCATTTCTCAATGCATGCATGTCTCTGAACTATTCCCACTCGGGTGATTTTGCCTCCGCCAAGCAAGCATAAACCTATATTCCGGATGCTAGTCTAGTCTAGTCTACTCCAAAGATAGATGGATGATGCATGGTGCCAGCAAGCGAGACATCGATCGTTCGCTTGTTATCAACATAACTGAAGATTCTGGGGATATCCTTCTATCCGTGCTAAATTAGGAACTAGATCTCGTATTGTGAAGGAAATCATGGTAGTAGCCCTACGGGTACGGGCACGGAGCATAACCACCGGAATGAATATCAGATCGGCGATCTCGTATCGCATCGCATCGTCGCACCGGACCGTGGATTGTAAGTCTGCAGATGTCACTTCAGTTGATCGGTACGGACCCTGCAGAACTCTACTACATACTACGGAAAAGCGAATGACAGCAAGTGAGACATTCTCGTATTGTTGTCGGCTAATGCAATGCCATGTAATGCAATCCAATGCAACGTCCTCGGAGGGTTTCCATTCGGAGTATGCACTTTTGAAGGATGTACGGATAAACCGGCTACAATTGACCAATAGCCACTACCTATAGAATATGGCGGGGCGAGTTGCATGAACTAGGTACTGCACTGTCCTCTCCTTGTGTGTATTCTAAAAAAAGATTCTTTATCTCTCACCATCGACAACGACAGCACAACTAATACAACCGCATTAGTCGCACTGTACTCACTACTCACTCGCTGCCACCCTCTTCACCGGCGACCGACTCTTGCTCCCACTCCCACCCCTCTGTCCCTGTCCCTGGCCCAGACTCCCCCTCTGGCTCTGACTCTGGCTCTTCCTCTGCTGTTCTACCTCCGCCTCGTCCTCCTCCTCACTCTCCTCCTCATCCGCCCGCTCCTCAATCCACTTAAACACATCCTCGCGATGATGCATGAGCATTTCGCTGAGTCCCGAGGTCGGTGATTGAATAAGATGCCCGTAGCGTTTTGACGGCTTGCGGCGCGTTTCGACGTTGCTCCAAACGCCGTGGCTGTGGGAGACGAAGACCAATGAGTTCTGCTTTGTTAGCTGGGGAGGGTCACTGGATTGGATGGGGGACGGAGGGGGTGAGGGCGTACATCTTTATACCATCGTGAGAGCCAGACTTGTGTGTGGGAGGCTATCGCGCGAACGGGGTTCTCGGCGACGAAGGAGATTACCCCGTTAACGCGTTGGTACAGGGTTTCTGCGGCGGGTTAGCTATTTTGGACTGTGTCGTGTGATGTTACCGATGCTTACCTCGGTTGATCAACAAGTTCGCGACACCGTAAAAGGCATTGCCCATGCCGATGAAGAAAACCTCGGTCGCTTCGTTGGGTCTGTATTGTTAGCCTCGCTTTTTCAACACCAAGGTGGAGATAACTCACTCGATATAATTATCCCACAAATACCCCGCCAATTCCTCAGTCGCAGTAGGCCTGTTCTCATCCTCGTCTTCGTATTTCCCAGTTACCTGTAACAGTCAGCAAAGACCATAGAAATAAACAACCAGAAAACCTACAGGTTCATTAGTGACATGTTTTGGAATGTTCACGTCAATCACAGCATAGCCTTTCCCAATAGCCCATCCGATATACTCCTTGACAACATCAGCCTTGTCTTGTTAGCTCATCATACAATAATGCGGCGGGATTTACGTACCAGCCAGCAATTGTGGGCTTCTAGTTTATTGGTTGTTGGATGAGGGAGGCCCATTATTTCGGGTCTTCGCCTGTTAGCCAGATTTATGTTTGTTGGTATCGGTAATGGACTCACGGATCGTGGAAAACGACTAGAAGCGGTGTTTGTTTGTAATAATTCGAGCTACACGCGTTAGTCTATATCGATAAACCCAGGGAACTGACATACCTTGCCAAAACCTGATTTTCAAAAGACTTCGAAATAGCCGTCCGATAAATATAAAGCGGCGTGAGCTTGAACTTGTCATACAGCTGCTTGGACTGGTACTGACGAATAATATCTGCACATATTAGCCGACAATTCCATCTTGAACTGCACATACATACCGTGCAGTCTATCAGTCCAAAGGCTCAGATCTTGCGGTTCCCTCGGATACATGCACCGCCAGTAACGGGACTGGGTCAACATAACACGTCTTACAGTGCTTGCGGCAAGTTCCGATGGCGATGTTGACAGAAGACGGTCGGGAGGCTCTCCCATGAGCGTTTTTGTGACTGCGAGTGCGGATTTGGAGATTGATCGGAAATTGTAGCCACCCTGTTCATGTCAGATGAGTCCTAGAGTTGTGATAGAAGGGACAAACCTCCAAGCAGACAGACACCTTCCCATTGGCAAGACCCATAAGCATATGTGTCATGTGCGCATAGCAAGATGGTGTCACGAAGCAACCACCAAGCTCATCGCCAACAGCAGCATCGAAACCAGAAGCGACTGCAATGGTTAGCTTTTAAAACTAATACGTGACGGAGGGACACCCACTGATAACCAAATCGGGATCAAACTCTTGAGCAATAGGCATGACAACTTGCTGAAATGCGTACATGTAGTCGCCATCACCCATACCCTGGCTTGGCCATGGAATGTTGACGTTTCTATTCATATTAGCCGCTTGAACGTAGATGACCATTTGAAAAGCTTACCTCCCAACACCAGCACCAGCACCGCAGTGGTTCAAGTCACCTTCGTCACCACCAGGGTAAAATCTCCCATCTTGATAAACATGCAAAGAGATATACAAGACATTAGGGTCGTCGTAGAATGCTTTCTGGATACCGTTTCCTGTGATATGTGAGTGGAGCTCTTTCTACCGCGTAACTAGTATTTACCATGATGGACATCCCTGAACCCATTAGCAAGTGTAACGAGACTGGAAAGGTGTAGTGCTTACCAATCGAGAATCACAATCTTTCGACAGCTATCTCCCAATCTTCTCTGACAAACACGAGCAGCGACCGATACATTGTTAAACAGACAGAATCCCATAGTCTTGTCGTGTTCTGCATGGTGTCCGGGCGGCCGGATAACAGCGATGGCGTTCTTAACCTTACGAGTAGCGACAGCAAGACATGTTTCAATTGCACCTCCCACGGACAAAAGTGACGACGCAAAAGTGAGTTTGTTGAAATAGATGGAATCACGAGTATGTTCCAATGCAATGAGTTCATCATCAGACATGTCTACCATCATTAGTCTTCAAACCTAAAACAAACGGAGAAGAGAGAAATACCCTTGGTGCTCTCCACAAAAGAAAAATGATCCGGCGTATGGACAAGCGAAACCTCCTCCTCTGTCGCATTCCGCGCATTTATCCTTTTCAACGGCCTCGAGACAAGCGGTTTCGATGACTCTGGATCATCAACAAGCCCAGCTCGACACAGCTCCTTGTAGATATAATAAATTCTTCGCGGATCCTCCGGATGCACATCTGCCGTCGGTCTCACTTCACAATGATACCGCATCTGCACATCATAACACAATCCCGATGAAAGGCTAGCAAGTGGAATACCAACATGGGCCGCAGCTTCTTCGTCCGACCAGTCCGAATTCGCTTCCATAGGGCTCTCGGACCTTTCAATTCCCCCGAGCCCCCCACCTAGCTCGACAGACTTAGTCAAACCTGGCGCCTCTGCCGGATGACCAGTACCAGGACCAGGACCAGAACCAGCCACCGGCACAATCCCCATCGCAGACGTCGCCGTCGCCGGCGCCGGCACACTCCCCAGCCTCGGCGGCAACCCCTGTCCCAAAATCGACGGCGCAAGAGCAGGATCGGCACTCCCATTGAAATGCGGAGGCAGAGACTGTCTGCTCGCGCTAGCTCTAGCCAGCTGGTGAGGTGGAGCCATGGGCTGGGAGATGGCGTCCCGCATGACGGTATCCTCGTCGTCCTCCATGGCCGTTGGGATAGAGTCCAAATGCGTCGCGTCTCTTTTGCTTTGCTTTCCCTTGCCACAAGGTCTATGGGACTAACGGGTCATGGCCGGTGCAAGGAGATGGTTAATTGGTTGGTGGTGTGTGGTTGGGAGACCCTGAGTTCTATCTCCAGGGGTGCTGCGCGGATTGGTGAGATGTTTAATTAGACGGACAATTTGCGCAGATGAGATCCCAGCTTAACAATCTCCCAACAGCAAATCAACAAAATAAATCGAGCGTGGCGTGATGTTGTCAAATAGCTAGGTGAATAGATGGCACTAAACTCGATGACCTTGAGACCCTGACAAACGGAATGAATCAGGGGCAGTAACGCGATTAGATGATTGAGATGTTTAATTCTGGGCGGTTGAATATGTTAGAATAAATATCATTTGTCAGGTCTGAACATAGGTATGGTTCGGTGGAGGGAAAGATAGGCTTGTTGGATCGATGGAGCTCCAGAGCGTTGGTCCACCTAGCTCCTATTCCACGTGACTCTGGTCGCAAATCCAATACTACATAACAGAACAAGTGATATATCATGTCTTACCTAGACTATGAACAAGACCGCCGCAATTCCAATGAGCTGCTGTATTGAAGAGTTTACAGTAGCAAGCTTCGTTGACGCCGACAACTCTGGCCGAGTGTTCGCCGCCCAACACCGCAGCCAATCACAGGCCTCGTCATGGCACAACTACCATGTAGGGATTGAGAAGAATTTAGGAAGTCTACATGTAGGCAAAAGAAAGGTATTTGTTTGAATCGTTCATTAGAGTACGTCATTCATATGCTTTTAAATCTGAGTCCTCCAGCAATTTAGATCGTTTCATAAGCTCAGCAAACCACCCAGTATCCAAAATCCGCAGGGCGCTTGTTCCGCGACACCTACATGTGATCCAGGGGAGGTATCATGGGTTGAGCGACTGTCGTGTTATTGCATTTAGAGGAGACTCTTCACCCCGGAGCTCTGTCCTGATTCCTACTGGCCGTCGACCTTCGAGATGTAGGAGATGAGGTCAACGACACGGCGGGAGTAACCCCACTCGTTGTCGTACCAGGAGACGAGCTTGATGAAGTTGGCGTTGAGGGCGATACCGGCCTTGGCGTCGAAGATGGAGGAGTGGTCGTCACCGTTCAGGTCAGAGGAGACAATGTCGTCCTCGGTGAAAGCAAGGATGCCTGTTTTGAGTTAGCAGAATTCCCTTGTCAATCAATTGGAAGGTGGCTTACCCTTGAGCTCGCCGTTGGAAGCGTCCTTGATGGACTGCTTGATCTCGTCGTACGAGGCACCCTTCTCGATACGGCAGGTGAGGTCGACAACGGAGACGTTGGGGGTAGGCACACGCATGGCCATACCGGTGAGCTTGCCGTTGAGGGCAGGGATGACCTTGCCGACGGCCTTGGCGGCACCGGTGGAGGAGGGGATGATGTTCTGGGCCGCAGTACGGCCACCACGCCAGTCCTTGGCGGAGGGAGCGTCGACAACCTTCTGGGTAGCAGTGTAAGAGTGGACGGTGGTCATGAGACCCTCGACGATACCGAACTTGTCGTTGATGACCTTGGCGAGGGGAGCCAGGCAGTTGGTGGTGCACGAGGCGTTGGAGAGGACGTTGACGTCCTGCTTGTACTCGGTGTTGTTGACACCCATGACGAACATGGGGGCGTCAGCGGAAGGAGCGGAGATGACGACCTTCTTGGCACCACCCTTCAAGTGAGCAGAGGCCTTCTCGTTGGTGGTGAAGACACCGGTGGACTCGACGATGTAGGAGGCACCGGCCTGGGCCCAGGGGATGGCAGCGGGGTCCTTCTCAGCGAAGAAGCGGATCTTCTTGCCGTTGACGATGAGACCCTCGGGGGCGACCTCGACGGTACCCTTGAACTGACCGTGGGTGCTGTCATACTTGAGCATGTAGGCCTATTTGGGTTAACACTGTCCGCTTCGTTTCTCTCTCTCTCGTGTAGACATACAGCGTAGGTGATCTCGATGAAGGGGTCGTTGACGGCAACAACCTCGACGTCATCACGGTTGATGGCGTTACGGAAGACAATACGTCCAATACGACCGAAGCCGTTGATACCAACCTGGACAGGAGTATGAGTATGGGGATGGAAGATATCAATCGAGTGGTCTGCTCTCGCATACCTTGGGGGCCATTGTGAATAGTGTCTATGGCGGGGTAGCTGTTAGTATTGTACACGAGGTAAAGAACAGTATATATGTAGAAGTATACTAAAGAAAGAAGGATAACTCACGAGTTGTATAGGTAGAGATAGATAAAAGTGTAGATGAGTTGTGAAAGAAAGAAGAGAAGAGAAGAGGAAGAAGCAGGTAGAAAAGTAACGGAGGAGAGGGGGCGGTTACTGACGCAACGATTCTTACATAGAAGAGCTACACCGGGCGGACAGACGGGGCAAACACTACCACAGCAGCCTTCCGGTTTCAGACACCGGGCAAAGCAGGAGTCGACGATATTTGGGGGGACCTGGCAGCCGAGCACCGGCCAATGATAGTCTACAGATTTACTCATGAATGTTTTGCCAGATTTTCGTCCGGCACGAGGTATATCGTGATTGTCGTGTTTGCCTAGGCTATAGGGTGTTTAAGGATTGGGTTCCGAGTTGTTCCTGTTGATTCCGGGGAGTCTATACTGCACACCACAAAGCAACTTCTCACGGAGAAAGACACAGGAGATGATGTAACGCAATGGTATCGATCAGTAACATCCCCCTCCATCCCACTATTCCGGTGAACAATGAGGGGCTGCCGCTTTCGGCCCCGGCACCGGATACAAGTTGATCCCGACTACTCTGCATCGCCGGAATATTAATCCATCAAGTTCTTCCGTTCCGGGGTCTAGGCTGGGGTTGTAGCAAAGCTTGGCTCTCCAGAAAGATTCACCGGTTGCGATCATGTGGACGGGGGTGTTTTTTTTTTTGGTCGTCGTTTTGGGTTGTTTGTTTAATTTGGAATGAATTGAAATCGTCTTCAGATAAGCATATATATATAGTTATACCTATATCTATATATGTGTTCAGTGGTGTATATCTCTACGAGTACGGGTATCGAGTGCGGAAGTATGGGTAGCTGTCATGTACTCAGCGGGATATATAGCCGTGTGCAGAATACTGGATGCTGAACAACAAACCATCTAGCCCTGACCATCTGGTACTTACGAGAAAGTTCTTCCCCACATTACATGCCAACAATGTTCTCCCGCGTTGGCATCACCTGATCAACGTCGGTGTAAATCTTGAGTCATGATAAGAATCAAATTAGAATATCACCCCAAACAAGAGCCCCCCACGGCTCACAATTATCTATGTATACAGTATGCTCTTTTTGGTCAACCCTTCCATTTCAGAATGCAAAATATCCCCCACATAGTAAAAATCATAGCAGTTCATCACATTTACTCCTCCTTAACACCACCGCGATAGTTCTTCTCCGCCTGCTCAACAGACGCCTTGTCACTCTTGACCTGACCCTGGTTCATGAAGCTGTTGCCAGCCTTGAATGGCCGCTGCAGATCACCGGTGGCCGGCTTGCCGAAGATATGAATCTTGACCAGGTTCGACTCGAGCGCGCTCTTGAGCGGGATGATCGACTGGATCAGGAGCGGGTTGGTGTACTTGAAGTACAGGTGCATCACGCCCATCATGCCAACGCCCATCAACTGGCTCTTGATCAGCTGGCGCAGCTGCGTCTTATCGTAGTCCATGTTGGTCGTCGTCACGGGACGGGGTTCCTCGCTGCTACCCATAGGAGCGGGTTCGACGTATTTGAGGGTCGTCATGTCTGGACCAGTGGGTGTTAGTCAGTTGACGGGAGGGTCAGATGTAGTGGGAATCGGAAAGAAAGCGATGACGGCCTCGTACCCTTCTTCGTGTTGATCTTCTTTTGCGTAAAGAGGTAAATGCTCAAGATGATCAAGTTGGACAAGACGTACAACCCCCGGACGAGCATCAGAATCTCGGGGTTCTCGAACGGAATCTTCTTGGCCAGCTGCATCATCACAAGGATGACAGCCATGTTGGTTCTACATCGCGCGCCAGATTCAGTCAGTAAAAGTCACCACAAAGCGTAACTGCCATCGTGACCACAGCGACGCGAAAAAAGCCCGACGAGACAATGACTTACACTTGAGGAGACACCATTTTGACGATTAAGACGAAAGACCCTTGGACGAAAGACAAAAACCGAAACGCAGTGAAAGACCGGACCTGGGAAACTGGTGCAAAGAAGTCGCGCGCAGGGACAAGATTTGTAGGGCCGCGGAACTGGAATCCCCGGAAGTCGAACAGCTGGCCTGAAAGGTGCGCGGTCACGTGGTATTTTAGGAATATATGCCTCAGGTGTCAATATTCACATGACTTTGACGGCCAGTTTGCTGCACCGCAGTGTTCCTCGACAACAACACAATGACGCTTGATCTTGGCTGAACGCACGCTGGCAGCCACTCCCAAAGATTATGAACAAATGATGTGATGATCGTCACTGCTGCAAGCCAGTATTTCAGATTTTACAGACTTATTTAGGCCATATATGGTCGAGAGCGCAAGTGGCAGACTCCAGGCAGGCAGTGTCAACATGGCTTGCCGGCTTGACTAACCCATTATATACTCCCAGACTTGAACTGATCTATCTTATAGCACATGGCTAACAGAAAACAGGACGCTCATCTACCTCTCCCTTGGTGGTGACTCGGCATCAGTCATCATCTTATATGCTCAAGATTGTGGCCGAGTGAGCTGGTTTCCCGATCGGGACTAGCGCAGCTCCACGTTCGACGGTCTTTAGCGACGGGGATGTCTAACATTTCTCTCACTTCTTCCATCCATCAACAACGCGCGTGCCCTCCCGCTTTTCTAGATCGCTTCACCCTCCACATCCGCGTCCTATCGCCTCGAATCTTCATCCGACGCGACTCTACATCGCTGCGACTCTTATTCTCGACTCATTTTCAAGATGCCCGGCGGAAAGGGAAAGTCGATTGGTGGAAAGGGTGGTTCCAAGGAGTCTGCGGGGAAGACTCAAAAGTCCCACAGCGCAAAGGCTGGCCTACAGGTCGGTGCAATTTTTTCTTCGCTTTTGTGCTCTGCCTTTGGTCGACATCGCTGCTTTTTATTTTTCGTGTCGCTGGCGATTCGGTGCGATGGATGTACGACAAGTATGACGTGATCTTGAAAAAGGGAAAAACGCGTTGAAAAATTTCAAGTCGCTATTCTTGGTGAATTTTCATCGCTATTGACAGCGCAGCCTTATTTCACGGTCGCGCGCCTGATCTACCCATCCATCCGATGCTGCCGGCGACAACGTTCAGCGATCACTGCTTTGTCTACTTTTCGTGCCTCGAGCAGAAGTAAGCTAACGGCTATGGTCCACAGTTCCCTTGCGGTCGTGTTAAGCGTTTCTTGAAGAACAACACCCAGAACAAGATGCGCGTTGGTGCCAAGGGTTAGTCTTTTTCTCCCGTCCCCTCTGCAGCGCGCCTGTCCCCTCTTCAGACCTGTCCTGTATATGCGCGATTTCTGACAAGCAATTCAGCTGCCGTCTATGTCACCGCTGTTCTTGAATACCTGACCGCGGAAGTCCTGGAACTCGCGGGTAACGCCGCCAAGGACCTCAAGGTCAAGCGTATCACCCCTCGTCACCTGCAGCTTGCGATCCGTGGTGACGAAGAATTGGACACCCTGATCCGTGCCACCATCGCCTTTGGTGGTGTTCTGCCTCGTATCAACCGTGCTCTGCTGCTGAAGGTCGAGCAGAAGAAGGGCAAGAAGGATGTTTAAATACGGCGAATACCCTACGAATACGGCGTTTGATATTTAACGACGAATGAAAAGAGGAAAAAAGAAGGGAAAAGCACTCTGGGATATCTATGGTTTATGTGCGACGCTTTGAGCCAGGTTTTAATTCGGAGGCGTTTTGGGGGCCAACAACTAGCAGCGTTATCCATAACCGCCCCAAAAATGCTGGGTTTTCCTTCTTCCACACGGCAGGAGAACCATCGGACCATGATTTGGCATGGTCGGGAGAACCCGGGTATTATCCCCGTATCCTTGCTTTCTCTACTTATGGCGCTGCAGTTTTGATTCTTTTTTTATACTATTCCCCGTTAGTTATTTGTACTTTTGCCTTTTGTCTCCATTCATACTGTTCATCTCTAAGGCAATAACAAAACAGGCGCTCAAATGGGAAAGGGGATAACTTGATAATGGGCAATGCTTTATGCTTTTATTCAAATCTGACCTGATAGTGTTGCGTATGCGGCAAGCAATGTTACTCAAGGTGAAATTGTACAGCATTCCAGTTCTTATAACCCTATCCCAAGCAGAACAGCGCCATATCCACACATAGCAAGAATCCTGCCTGCTACAAAACCCATCAAACTTGCTCTTCCCTTTTCACTATATCTGATAAAGGAAAAATCAGACTGGTAATAATATCATTGCGCATGCATGTTCATACGGTATCCTATATTCCCGCAGGAATACCTAACAATAACAGTTGTACTCCGTAGATTCAACAGTGGGATTACGGTATATGATTGGTCGAGCGAATCGTACATTGGGTTTCCAAAAACGGAATCAGTATATCTAACTCACTTTAACCTAGCCATAGGCATCATAATGAATATTGGCGGAGCGGTAGCACATGGGTCCGTGATATCGTAATATATAGTATCATCAACCCATCATCAAACCATTATCATTCCATCGATCATTACATATATACTTATTCTCTGGGGCCCTTTGGCCATGAGATAGACCTAACCAGCGCTGCACCAGGTAATCTATAGCAACCATGCTTCCCCCCAAAGCTATTTAGTCACAGCCTCCTAGTCCCATTCGCTCAGTTCCTCGTTCAAGACAGGCCACCTACTCATCGACCCGTCCTGGAACATCGACGAAACAGACGGTTTCTTCGGATCATCACATAGAGCTGGGGGGCCGTACCTAAGTTCCCTGCCCAAGAATAGATACTTGTCCTGCTGCTTACACTTAGATTTGGCTCCAATACTCACCACTCGAAAACTAGATACAAATGTTTGTCTCTTTTGCTGCGCACAGTCGCTTCCGGCACACTTGTTGCTCCATTCGTTCAAATAGAAAGTAAATGCGCATTGTTTCTATTGAAGGAGACTGATATTGATCAAACTGATGGTTTATTCAGATCTTTCAGGCATCACATTCCAGAAAAGCACCACCTCGCAGCCATCAAAAAGAGTTGATAAGATCCATGATACAGAGCAGGGTGCGATGCGATGTCTTGATGACTGCATTTGTGATATTGCTGACGGTCCCCGAATCACAGCGTTTACAGAGTGGAAGTACGCACTGCACCGTCATTGATTTATCTGTGGCTCCGAGGCTCTTACGCGGGGGTGTGGTGTACAGGCTTGGACATGAATAGCAAGGGAGTGCCGGTGACAACACTGAAACACATGATTTCCCAGCAGTTCCTTGGCTAGACCTGAAAATCCTGGCCTTTTGTCCATACAACGAAAGATGCACATGATTTTGCTATGGCGAGATTGTTCAGTTTTCCAAGACGGGCTGGCGATCCCTACTTCTGCTCCCGCCAGTCTATATATTCCCTTCATCTTGAACCGTTACCAAGCACTCGGGCGGAGAAGACCTGTGATCATCACGCGACATTTAGCATCCTGGCATAAGAAAGGGTTGCATCTTTGAGCATTGGGACCGGTGGCCGGCTGTCCACCTTAGGAGCTAGAGAAAATATCCAGAGCAAGCAAAAGCGAGGCCTAGTTCAAATCATATTATTCTAGTGTTGCTATACCTTTTATTTGGTTCTCACGGCTTCTAGGACATCGTATTGAATGGGTCACTCTTTTTATAAATAAATAGTTAGAATTTGTAGAGCTGGGCCTTGGTTACAGCTATATTGTTATTGCTACACTACTCTCCATTCTAATAATTTGGAAGTCTGTGAGTTCCGCGCAAGCGTCCCTGCTACTTCGTGCTGGTTTGAGATGTCTCAGGTTGCTCGATACATCCCAGGTGATGGTTCAAATATATGTGCATATATCTAACGCAGTTGTGCTCTCTTAGGTATCTATTGAATAAACGGTGGTTATGAGATGCGACAAGAATATGTTAAATGTATGGTCGGGGCCTTGGAATCTATGGATAGCTGTCTGCCCGAAACTGTTGGCTGCGTATAGGACATCATAATGAGTAGCCCGCTGAAAACCCTTTATTGTTGCCGATCACAAGTATATCGTAAATTCAATTCATTATCTTGTCCGACGATCAAACTACATCAAAGGATTAACATATCGCGAAATCAGTATAACTAGCCGGGCAGTACATCTCAACAATCGACTGAGACTTCCCAGTTCAAACAACTTGAGATGCGATAATATCGCTTGAGCCCGATATAGCAACTTGGAATTGAGCCTTGGAAATGCGGTGTCTGGTTTGGCCATTACTATGCAATGAAGGCCGAACAGAAAGACTAAGCATTGGTAAAACGTTTCGGAACAATTAAAATTGTTTTTGACCAGCTTCCCAGGGCTATGTTGAGACGTCGAGTGAAAGAAGTCACAGTTGCATATGCTAGTTCAAGACAGAACGAAGTATACTTACCCGCTATATGAAGATTAGCTAGTCTTAAATGAGCACCAGACCATTTTAATGGCGTCAGAAGGTCTTGCTGCGCACGTGGACCTCACAGATCAAAATCCATCTAGCGTCCATGTCCCAAATACTTTGTCAAGACCGCTGGTGGCCGACGCAGAATAATTCCGCAACAGCACGGGACTGGCCTTTCGATCAAATTTGTCAGTGATAGGGAGGGTAGAAATGACATGTCAATGCAAGAATATTTCTAGGACACCCTTGACTTACGTGCTATAAGCCCATAGAAACTTCGGTGCAACCTACCTCTTCTGAGAGTCACCCGCTGGGCATCCGAACTGCATTGGACTGCCAACAACTGGATTTCATACGGGCTACACCGGAGGTGAATACAGCGAAGTGAACGATACAGTCATCAACACAAGCCTAGACAGAAAAAAGTGGTCGATATGTTGATAGTGCGTGCTGAAAGGTTCAACTTTCAGTTACAACATATTGTAGATATCAAGGAAGTGTCCGCAAGCATTATTTGGTCGCGTGGGTTCCCCACCGTTGGCTTTGGATATGACTATGGCTCTTGAGGACATGAGAAGTTCGGATCCTCATACAAGATCAATAAGAGAACCGGATATGACAATTACTCCGGCTGCTTTCTACCAGTCAACAGTTGTATTCGAGAGCGGTTGGAGCGAGCCTCGCGAGAATACTCAAACACGGAGCTCTGGCTAAAGGGAACCGGAGAACCGTGTAGAAGGTGATGCCTATCAAGTGGGAGAAATACTTATTTACTGGGACCGCGCGGGGAGACGCAGAAGTTCTGGGGATTAGTGATGGGCCGATAGTCAGTCGCCCTTCAGAGAGAGGCTGTCTGCTTGATTAGTTATAATAAAAACTGACGTGATTTGCTAACCTTGACACTAGAGAATCTTCCCATTTCTCCCAAATGCATCTGATCAGAAGATCCAGGTGCCTACACAGCCTCTTCGGAGGAGGTATACAAGACCTACCCAATCACGACCAGAACGTGACGCTCGAAATCGACGCGTTGAGACTTGCGACTACAAGACCATGAGATTGGCTGGCTGGGCGTCTGCTTGAGGAGTCAAATGGCACTGATTCGCTTTGATTCGCTCTCTATACAAATCCTTGTACTTCTGGCCGATTGCTTCAAGGCCATGTTCAAATGACTTGTACCGTACAACCAATGAAGACCAGTGAATCCAAAGTCTACATGAACAAAGGAACCTTGCATGTGGCGATGCGGCCATATTCAGATGAGAATGATCGGTCCTGTTCTTGAGTTATGCGAGGCCAGCTGAAATGCAAGTCAGGGTTTGCCTGCATAGTGGCGAGAGGCTACGGAGTCGCCGGGGTGCCGTACAGGGGGTTATATATTTTGCCTGATATTTGAGCAGTTGTACGAAATACAACAGAGTGTTTTATTAGCGGTTCATATATTCGTAACCTACTTCGCAATCCCAGTACATATGAGCAGAGTAAGCCAAGTGCTATCTAGAAACTAGATGGAATGAACCCCTGGAATGTATGGTAATGACGGTACCTGGCGGGAACGAACTAAGAATGTTCTATGGCCGCGGATCGCCCATGCCGGCCTCCACATGTTCTAGTTTGTGGTTTCTGGTACTTGCCAATGATCAAGAGTAGAGCCGGTATGGATTAGAAATAACCGTTATTTTCATTTTCGTCATCTGAAATATGAGACCGACTGCACTGCACGATATTGCAACTTGCCACCAATCAAGCGCCACTAGATAAATCAGGCTTAGTGCGTTTCCGGAATTACGGCGGCGGTAATGTCGTATTATATTCCTTTTTGGCTTTGATGGATCTTGAAATATTATTATCGACATCCCCTGGGAATAGGGGCATCTGAGTAGTATCCGCGGATACAACCAATACTCCGTAAACTGGGCTCGGAGGTTGCCTGTCATATGGCGTGTCAAATATATGGCATCACATTTGTTGCCCGAGTGCAGCTTATATCCAGCTATTAATATCCCGGGCTGAGACCGAATATGCAGAGACAACATACACGCAGCCAGACATATCTACTGGATCGTTGCCTCCGTCCCCTGCACTCGTTGCATACCCGGACGATGAAACAGTCAGTCATTCAATAATAATCTCAAATCAATAAAATCCCGACTCTCCTCCGACCAGGACCGACC